TATTTCTAGGCTCTATCCCCTGGGCTATCTTGGATCGCCTGATTGAAGAGAAAATCCGTGTGATTTCAGCCCTTGTACGATTTCAGGTACTTAGTGAATGAGGCATGATTTTTCATTAACTCATCACTTACACCCAAATAATCCCTGACCCTCTATCGCTTTGTCTCTTTCTACAACTGCAAATATTCAGTTTATTCAATATTCAAAATATATATTCAATATTCAAATTCAATTCAGTATATATATATTCAATAGTCAAATATTCAATTTTGTCCTGTTTGTGATATTCTGATGACCTTCTGTTTCACGATCATTTGTTCGCCAATGTTATTGCAAGAGATCTCAAGATCTCTTCGCTTCTATTTCATCTATTGAATATATTATGGTAAAGCCGTCTTTCGTGAAAAGGTTTAGACTAGTCAATCTCTGCTTGAAAGATACACAAACGAGGAAGACGGTAGCAGCTGGATTCGAACTTATGACCTCTAAATCGCNTAAATCGCTACTCAAATCACCTCCACCACCAGACGGTGACCAGTGAAATCCACAGAATAAATACAGCCGTTTCGCCTGTTGAATAAGGGCGTATCTAAGTATTTATCACTGAAGCACAGTAATTATTTTGGGATACTTATTCACCGAAATGACATAGCGTGTTGCGGTGACTGGTAGAAACAGTTCTGAATTTAACACAACAAGTGCAACAGAGTTTGTGACCAACGTGTTCTTCAGAATACGATCGAGGTCGATAGAGAGCTTGGGAGACAATGAATCAACAGTTATCGTGTATCTAAATTTATGGGGTAACTCGGTCTCCGCGATATAATTNTTATGGGGTAACTCGGTCTCCGCGATATAATTGACCAGACAACGTCGGGAGGGGAAGCTACACGAAGTGACTTCCTCGGAAAATGAGTATATAGTACGTGGACGGTAGAATTTAAAGAAAAGGAACATCTAATCAATTTCACTTCTCCCTGATGGCCATCATCATTTTATATACTTGGTCGATCGAAAGATAAAGAAGGTTGTAGAAGTGAAATTCAGTAGATAGACGGACGCAAGCGTAGAGGGATTTACGCATGACTAGTTGAAGGTCTCGGTAGAACATGGTGATATGTTACATAGCCGGCCTCAAGGACCTGTGGGAGAGGAGGGACGTGTCACAAGATCCAAATCAAAAGGTCACCTGACATGATTAATCTGGTTATGAATGTGAATAATGCATTCGCACGGATAATGCATCCATTTGGCGCGTGCACGTCCAATCAACAATCCGCAATTTCTTACTGGGTGAATTAAAATACAAAGAGGCGAATTGAGATACTGGCTCTTTAAAGCTATGGCATTCGGCTGCAAAAGTTGAGCAAGGTTAAGCCTCCTCCACTAGTAGCTGCACAAGGTTTTTGTTGTTGATTAGTAACTCATATTTTTGCCTAATGTTCAGTGCATATCTCACATACTATTGGTTCAGTTTGACTAAGATTATCCAAAGACACTGAAGTCTATAATTTGTCTATTGCTATCTAGGTGGTGTCAACGTATCGATAATCAAGTTGGTCAAAAAGCCTATATATCCACCTTATTCCAATGCGTCTCTAGGTGTAATGAATCAAATAGTCACAATAATTACCGTTTTGTTTACGAAAATCGGTAGTATTTGTAGCATCGAAGTGCATCAGACCTCAATACACTAGTGTGTTACTGAGCTGTGGAGCGGATTACAATGGGCTGATTAGAATCCTGTATTTTGGAGCCCCGAGCATTTCAGCTAGATTGACTTAATACACTTGATAACCAACAAACCTCGTTCGCATTTAACTAACAGTTACTTGCCAGTAGTTGATTGATTAGTTACAGCTAACCATCCTTCAAACTTCACTTTCACACACATTCCTCAGCTCTTTCAGTCAACCATACACTCGAAGCATTAGACTCGAGATTCGATCTTATTAGGGCTCATCAGCATTGGTATTGAACTCTAGTACCCCTGGACAACAAGGGTCTTGCGGTGAATCGGAATGCACCTGTCTTGTTGCCCTGGTCAAAGAAGTTTAACTGTTGAAACTCGCTGCTCGATTTACACCGCAAATACCAAGGTTCGTTTGAACGTCCTCCGATTGAGGGCCACTGCAATGTCTGCCATCACAGATAGATTTGAAAGAGTTTGTACAATGGAGAGCCACTTGATAATTCTCTTGGTCTGAGCCTGTACGGAGGAAACTGCGCTTAGTCCCACGTAATGTCCGTAAGCTGGCAATATAAAAATCCTTGTTCAATCGCAGAATTGAGTTCATAACATACTGTTTGAATCACATCATTCCACTGAACCAGTAAGTTGGTTGCATTCCAAAATTTGATCAGTTGGTGCGTACACTCAAACAGCCAGATGACTGTTTTCCCATGTTATTATTTTTAAAGTTGTATGGATTTTCCACAAGTTGGCTTCGAAGTCATAATTTGGTTTCGTATTTTGCAAAGTGATGTTCGGTTTTCATTTTGACGTTCTTGTACAATGAACCCATTTCAATGACATGAAGTGTATAAAGACGCCATGTGGCGGGACAATTACGGAATCCCTCCATAATTTCAGGCTTTGATGCAGAGGAATTAACCAAGATCCTGATGCAGTATTTATGGTTATCTACTTCTACTGTAATAAATTATTTCTTTAACTTCGCTTTTCAGTCAATGAAGAAGACATTCGTTGAGTATCTTTACCTTCAGGTAACACAATATGTAAGACATTATTGGTGAGTGCGAATTATTCTTCTGTATACCTATGTTTATTTATTCCACTCTACGGGGTACCATCAGAAGTCAATGGGGCCAATCTAAGACGATAATCTACACTGTGTTGAGTTTGTTCGCTGGTATGTGAACTGCTCCATTACGGTGAGCGTGTAAACCCCACCTGTTCAAGATGTTTACAAAATGTGCATATTAACGTTTGGTCTCCATGTCGTCAAGTGGCTCAGATAAAATCATTGTTTTATTCTGATGTATTTCATCATCTCCTTGAAAAAGTGGATCTTTTTTCCAACCCTGCTACTCACAGACTAAGTGGGAGTTGATTGCCTTTCATAAGATAACTGATAACATGAGAAAATATGTTTGGGCTGTCACGAAACGCCACCTAATCATTTGGAATAGGGTGAAGATAAGACCTTTCTAGGTGGTGTAAATACCTCAGCTACTCTAGTGTTCATTCGACTGTTTTCCTTCGAGTACTGGTACTATCCTGTTTCGTAAACTCAAACAACGTTTTAGCCCAAAACAGAATCCAGAAAGTAATTTTCATTAAATAAGGATGTGGAAAATAGGCTTCAGCTATTCGCTCACGAAAGTTCACTGTTTGGATTCATCCCAACCTACTGAAGAACCGGCTGAGCTTGTGCAGAGATATAAGGGTTTATGAACATCCTGTCCGATTCAACACATCATTAAATCACTAAATATCAGACAATCAAACAG